TGGGGCTCTGTAGATGTCGTTGGCATAACAAGTGTCTGAATCGTCAGTAATAGGAAGAACCTGCAAAGGAGGAGGGGCAGAGCCTTGGGGAGCAGTGGCCTGCAGCCCCTGCGTGCTTTCATGGTCAGGGCTCTGCCCTTGGGTTAGGGCTGTCCGAAGGCAAGGGAGGAGGAAGCGGAATGCGGCCTCCCCTGCAACTGGGGGTTGGGGCTGATCCGTGCCTTGTGGGGCCTAAAGCTGAGAACTTAGATAGGTTTTGGGGTGCAGCTTTTTAAGAAAAAGAACCCAGAATTATGTGTGGAATCTAAGAAGGGGCCCCTACAAGCGAGGAGCCCTGTGGTTTCCGCAGCTTCCCAGGACCCCTGCCTCTGATGGGGCCAGGGTCTTACTCAGAAAACCTTCATCCGGGAGTCTGCCCTTGACTGACAGGCTGTGTGACCTTGACCCCGCCACCTCGCCTGCTGTGGATCCCAGGAGAGGGTGCATTTGAAGGCCCTGAACATGCATGATAATAACAACTCCGAGGATTTCTTCCTTGAGAAGCTGAATGGCGCGAGGCTTTTTAAAGACTCCGAATAGGACCCTGCACTACACTGAAAGGCTGTTTTGGCTCACGCACCCATCCAGCTACTTAATAGCTGCCTGTGTGCCTCTTATTTTTATTCTTGTTTCAAAGCTAATTATGTATCGTGCAAGGATGCCAATGACATGCTAAAACCTCCTATTCGACTGGACCAGCACTCCTCCTTGTTGGCTGCAGCGCCCAGGGCTTGCGCTGGTCTGGCCTGAGCCGTGTGTGTGCCCACACGCCTGTGTGCTTGCCCACGCTTGAGATTTCTCTCTCCGGAGTTGTCTTCCCTCCTTAGTGTGTGTGGAACACACCGACCATGGGAGCATCAGCGCCCGAGCTGGGGCTTTGCTTTGACGGCTTTACTCCTGCCTGCACTGTGCCCTACCCCATCCAGATCAGGGCAGCGCCAGGTCTGGCTGGACCTGGGCGCTCATATCATGTCATCAGGAGTTACCTGAGCTCTGCTTTCCACGTTGGCCTCACTCTCCCATCAGTTCACTGACTGGAATGGCCCTGGCAGCCGCTCAGAGGGAGAGGGCTTCTCCTTCATAGGACTTCTGCTGCAAGTCCTGGCACAGCTTTGCTGGGCCCAGGTCACACGTCCGTCCTCAGACTGGTGACTGAACCAAAGGGGATGAAATGCGCTGATCAGCCAGATCCAGGTCGTATCCTTACCTTTGATTCTGGTATACAGAAGGTTAACTTCCCCCAAACCACATGGACTAGGAAAGGCTGGAGGGGGTCTTCAAAGGAAAAACGAGGTATTGTTGGCATAAGATGAGGACGTAGAGAGAGGGGGCAGGCAGGAAAAATAGTCACACAGGTCCCCTCCCCCACCCGGGGCTGTGGAGCATCCTGGGATCTGAAGGGATAATTTCACAAGGGATAATACAACTGGCGGTAAACCCAACTCAAAACCCCTAAGAGCCACATATGGCATCAGGGATTACAGAGCCTGGAACTGAGGGCCACGTGGGGACAGGGCCCGGGGCATGCAGAGTGGGTCAAGCACAGGATTTCCCCTGGCCTGGCAGGCGGAGGGCCGGGCGGAGGCACGGGTGCCCAGGGGCTGTGTTGGTCTAGAGCCCAGACATGGATAGGAAGGAGCAGGCCAGAATGCATCAGGACGGAGGCCTCTGGAGGAGTTCTCCCGGGAGCTGGTTAGAAGTGAGTGTCTCGAGCTCCGCTCCAGACCTCCTGCATCAAAACCTGAATGTTAACCAGACCCGCGGATGATCCATGTGCCCACTGGTCTAAAAGACCCGTCTCTGAGCCCTCACGGTCAGGAATGGTGGGGACTACGTTAGGGCTGGGTTCAGACTTTCTGGAACGCAGCGTGGCCGTGTGTATGAAGGAGCCTTGTCATAGTCATGCTCTTTAGTCCACTATTTCCACTTCCGAGCCTCTTGCTTCACCAGATCAGCAGAGGCAGGACAAAGGGTGTTACGCACAAAGACGTCCACGGCAGTGTCCCTCAGAGTCAGAAACTACACCGTATTCACAAATAGTAAAGGGTCAAGTCAAGTACGGCACGTTATACGTCGACTGTGACATTATGGTTTAAAATGTCCTTTTAAAAGAACTTTGCCGAGAATGGGCAGGGAATATAGTCATAAACAAGACAGACTCTCTGCCTGCCTCTGGGAGCTGACGTTCTCCTGGGGAAGACAGACCATAAGCAAGTGGACAAATGAGATGACCTCAGCTTGTGACGAGGACGCAGAAGGAAGAGTGGGATAATGTGGTAGAGGACCATGGGTGGGTTGGGGAGGGCTCTTCAGGCAGGGGATACGGGGAGAGGCTGTCCTAGGAGCTGGCATTTAAAGTGAGATCCAGTGGATGAGGGTGCCAGTAAGATAAGCAGCCAGGAGAAGATCTCCCAGGTGGGCGGAGCAGGTATCAGCCAGATGCTGGGGTTGGGGAGCCTGGCTGTGTGAGGGATGCCATGGAAGATGTGTGACTGGAGCAGGATGAGCCAGGGGGCAGTTGGAAGCTGAGGAAGCCAGAGAAGGGAGCAGGGCCAACCCCTGATGCCTCGTAGGCGGTGGTGGACTTCGGGGTTGTTCTGAGGGCAGAGTGTTACAAGAGAGGCTGGAGAGGGGCTGTGATCTCAGTAAGATGGCAGGATAGGAGGTCCCAGCCCCCGTCCCCCACAGAAACACCGATTTGACAACCATCTACAGACAAAAATACCTTTGTGAGAGCTCCAGAGTCCAGCTGAGAGGGTCCAGCACTGAAGAGGGGAGGAAGAGCGTTTCACTGGGCTCACATCAGCCCTGCCCCAGGCTGACAGGACTCAGAGCCGAGAGGGATCCCCTGCCTACTTCTCTCACAGGAGAAAGAGCAGGTGAGGGTTCGGCTCCCCAGCCTCTTGTGGCAGCATTCGAAAGACCTGTTTGTCTGGATGCACGCAGAACACTGAGGGCATCAGTGTGGCTGGATTGTCTGGGAGCAGCTAAGAACAAAGGAACACACACTCATAGCAACCAGCGCATGTGCCCCCAAAACCACAGTGCCCCACACTCCCACAGATGGCATGTACATCACAGTAGCCAGCAAGGATCTCAGCAACCAACGAGACTCTGCAGGACCGGGAGAAGGCCACAACGCCGAGACGGTTCCTTCAGGAGGGAGGGACAGACGTGGAACTTTTGCCTGTCACCCTGGCATCTCAGTGTCCTGCCCTAGGGAAAAGCGATGAGTGACTCTTGGCACTTGACTCTGTGGGACAGGGAGCAGGCATACAATCCTAAGACATACCCATCGGGAGAGAGGGAGGGAAATGCAGCTTTCACCCAATCCTAATCCCCAACCCTCCAGAGGGAGGGAGAGGAGTGGAGTGGGTGTATCTGTAGAAAAGGGTCGAGCGGTCTCCAGAATCTCTAACCAGGCTGCCTGGTGAAGGTCTTGCCCTCCTGAGCCCAGTCCATGAAGACTGGAAGAGGTCACTGCTTCTTTACATGTGCAGACACCAACACAGGCTACAAGGATCCCAGAGAAGCAGGGAAACGTGACACCACCACACGAACAAAATAAAGCTCTAGTAACTGACCCCGAAGAAATGGAAGTCTACAGGATGCCTGACAAAAAATTCCAATCACCTTAAAGAAGCTGAGTGAGCTGCAAGAGAATGCAGATAGACCACTAAGCAGACCCCTCTAGAGCTAAAGAATACAAGGACTGAACTGAAAAATTCAGCAGAAAGCCTCGGCGTCAGACTCGAATAAACAGAAGAAACAACCAGTGAACTCAAGGACAGGTTATCCGAAATTATCTAGTCAGAGGAGCAAAAAGAAAAAAGAATGAAGAAAGACCGTAAGACTTATGTGACACCATCAAGGAAACCAGTATAACAGAATGGGTGTTCCAGAAGGAGAAGAGGAGGAGAATGGCCCAGAAAGCAGACTTAAAGAAATAATAGCTGAAAACTTTGTAAATCTGGGGAGAGAAATGGACATCCAGGTTCACAGAGCCCAAAAGACCCCGAATAAGTTGAACTGAAAAAGGGTCCACACCAAGACATGTTAATTGAATTGTCAAAAGTCAGAGACAGAGAGCATTTTGAAAACAGCAAGAGAAGAGAGACTCATCACAAAAAGGGACCCCATAAGATGATCAGCGGATTTCTTAAGAGAAAGCTTGAAGTTCAGGAGAGAGTAGGATGGCACGTTTAAGGTGCTGAAAGAAAATAAATCTACCAACCAAAAATGGCAAAACTGTCCTTTAAAAAAGGAGAGAGAAAGACTTTCCCAGAGAAACAGAAATTGAGGGGGGGTTGTTACCTCTAGACCTGCCTTATGAGAAGAGCTTAAGTTGAAATGAAAGGATACTCAACAGCAACACAAAAGCACATGAAAGGGTCAGTCTAACTGTAAAGAGAAATATATAGACAAATAGAACAAATGTAATACTGTAGTGGTGGTGCATAAATCACTTTTAACCCTGGTATAAAAGTTAAAAGACAAAAGTGTTAAGAATAGCTGTAACTACAAAAATCTCTTAATGGATGAACAATATAAAAGTTTTGACATCAATAACATAAAATGTGTGCCCAGGACCAAATGTCTTACAAGTGAATTCTACCAAACATTTAAATCCTTCTTAAACTCTTCAAACAAATGGAAGAAGGAACACTTCTGAACTCATTTGTGAGACCAGCCTCACCCTGCCACAAAGGCCAGACAAAAAATTAAAAATAGAGCTACCAAATGATCAGCAATCCCATTCTGGGTGTACACCCAATGGAATGAAATCAGGATCTCAGAGAGATGTCTACACTGCCATGTTCACTGCAGCATTGTTCACAAGAGCCAAGGCATGGAAGCAACCTAAATGTGTGTCAACTGATGGATGGATAAAGAAAATGTGATTCACACACAATGGAATATTACCCATCCTGAGAAAGAAGGAAATCCTGCCATTTGCAGTAACTTGGGTTAATCTGGAGGACATCATGCTAGGGGAAATAAGCCAGACAGAGAAGGACAAATACTAGAGAATGCCACTTACACGAGGAATCTAAAATAGCCAAGCTCAGGGAAGAAGAGAGTAGGTGGCGGCTGCCGGGGGCTGAGCAAAGTGGAAATGGAGAGGTATTAGTCAAAGGGCACAGAGTCTCAGTTACTCAAGGTGCATAAGTCCCAGAGACCTGCTGCACAGCCTCTGGCAATACTGCCTGGCTGTGATCTTTGCTCAGAGGGTAAATCTTAAGTATTCTTATCACACGCACACACACACACACAAAATGGTAAATAAAAAGGGCAGAGGAAACTTTTGGAGGCGACAGATATGTTTATGGCGTAGATTGTGGTGACGGTTTCACAGATGTGTGCATATCTACAAAGTCATCAAATTATATGTGTTAAATATGTACAGCTTCTGTTTGTCAATTATACCTCAATAATGTGGTTTAAAAATAAGTAAGAGTGGGTGGAGAGAAAACTGCCTTGGTCTAGAAGCTTCCGCAGGCTCATGGACAAGGCAACTGGGCCACTTTTACAATCCATGTCGAGTGAGCAAAGCTGGCATAGGATGATACAAACTGTCATTTTAACTATATTAAAAAATGGATAGAATACAAAGTACAAGAGGAAACATAAAAATATTACAGTGATTACCCCCAGGCAGTGGGATTACAGATGGTTTTTACTTGTTTTTCTTAAGCTTTCCTGTATTTTTTTCACACAAGACAAACAATAGAGGTGATTTCAGAATCTGAATTTGTGCCAGTCATACTGATTAGTTGCAGACGACAGAATCCACTCTTTCTGGGTTGAGCAGAGGGGAATCTGTTCATGGGTGCTAGGACTGAGATGCCAGGATGACCAGGGGACCAAGCTTGGATGCCCCATGGCCAGGGACAACACTAACAATCACTAAGCCCGCCCAGGCCTGTTGCCGTGGAAACCCCACTGCCTGTGATGCTCGGGCCCAGACCCTGGAGCATGCTGCTGTGGGAGAACCAGACCCTCTGTTCCCTGCCAGCTGGGAGCCCCATCCTCCACCACCTTGGGGGGCTCACTTCCACCTTTTAAGTCTCAGGCTGGCATCTGTCCAGAGGAGCTGAGGCCACTGGCAGAACCCCTAGCTGCAAGGGAGTCAAGGAACTGTAGATTTCAGTTTTTCCAGAGACTTCCATGTGGCCAAGCACAGAAGGAGGGGCTGGCACACGTGTTGAGTGAGTCAGCCTGCAGGGTCCACTGGAGAAGTGAAATAAGAATGACAAAAATGATCACTTGCACCCTTGACCTTCTGAAGGCCACGTGAAGGCTCAGTTATCCGTTGTGTTACAGTGAGGACAGCAGGAGGCTCTCTCTTGGTCCCGGGAGCACTGGCTCTCAGAGCCCCTCACCCCAGCCTCTGCAGTGCACGCTGGCCTGACTTCCACCCAACAGCACTTCTCTGCCTGGGGACTTTCCTTACTGCTGGAGACTCCTTAGCCCCCTGGGTGACAGGCTCATATGTGGAGACTTGCTGTCCCCCAGGACACCTTCAGCCGCTACCCCAGCTGCCTTACCCCTTAGTTGAGAGAGCTCTGAACAGTGTGCTCTGCCCCAGCTGCCAGGGCTCCCTGGAGGACCAGGCTCCTGTTGCCCCCAGTGGTGGGTGTCCAGAGTGGGGCACAGTGGTGGGCAGCTTGGTAGTAGCCGTTGCTAGCCACCATCTCTTCCCTCCCTTCCTGACCCTCCTGCCTTCGTCTCCCAGATAAACTCCTGCTCCAGAATCCTTCTCTCCATGTCTGTCTGGCATCGCAAAAGCTGAGGTATCCATGGCCTAAGCATGTGCGCATGGAAAGCCTCATCCTGGCTCTGGAAGTCCTGCTGGGGACAGTCCTCTGGGCCGTGAGTTAACAGGTGTGAGGCTGCTTCTGTGACCTCATACCTGTACATTCCAGTTTGGAAGGTCGTCCTGTTCCTGGTTCTCATCCTCATGGGCAGGAAACCCCTTGGGTCCAGGACACTCAACTGCACGATGCCCCACCCCTGCTGAGGCCAGGACCACGTGTGCACACAGGCATCATCCACCCCAGGGTTCTGCCCGGCCCCTCTCCGCCTCTCCTCCCTATGTCATTCAGTGCTCCCTCTGCCCTAGGACTGGCGATGATGCTCCATGGCGTTCAAGGGCATCCTCTGAATGTGCCGTCCTTGGTTTAAATGGGACTCTGCTGTGTGTTGCTGTTAGCATGTGAGGTTGGAGCCAGCTTTGTCCTGGGTTCACACAACAAACATTCCCCTGGAGCCTGCTCTGCTCGGTGCCCGAGGATGCTGACTGTGGGGCTTGGAGATGCGTCCTCTACTACAGAGGTCAGCTGCCCTCCTCGCTCTGTAGGTCTGCCCTTGAGCAGTCGCCCAGCAGCCAGGCGCCAGGGAGCTCACATTCTCATGTTACACCTTCAGGCAGGGGTGACAGAAGCGGCTTGATTGAGCAGCTGCTCTGGGCCAAGCGTGTTCCTTGCCTCCTTCAGCATCCTGGGGGTAACTGTTACTATCATCCCCAGTGCACAGATGAGGAAACTGAGGCTCCTACAGCTTGGGTGACTTCTGAGGTCACCTCGGGCAGGGGCTGGGACGGGGAAGGCCTGACTCAGGGCCCATGCTTGTTCCTTGGCGTGTTCCTACCTCAGACATGGGACATCCCAGAACCATGAGGCTCCTGGTTTGCTGCATTGCTGCACCTCGGCCATTTCTCAAGGAGCCTCTGTGTTGTCTTGGCACTGGGGACCCTACGGTGAACCTAACAAATCTCTTGTCCTCACCGGGGCTTCCTTCTAACAAGGAAGGCAGAGACCGTAACCAGAGGTAAGTAAGACGGCTTCAGGGGCCCTGAGTGAAGGCTGCCACACGGGGGACGGTGCCGAGGCTCTGAGGAGGGGTCTGTCTCCTGCTGGAGACACTGAGCAGCTCCAGCACCAGATGTTTATCGTCTTGATCTCTGTGGGTCAGAGCCCAGGAGCAGCGGGGCTGGGCGGCCCTGACTCGGGGCTCTCGTGGGGTCGGTCAGGATGTCGGCTCGGGCCGCCTCGTCCCAGGGCTGGGACATCTACCTGTAAGCTCACGTGGTGGCTGGTGGCAGGAGGCGTCAGGTCCTCACCAGATGGGCCTCTCCACAGGGCCGCTCACAGGCAGGGCAGCTGGCTTCCCCAGGGAGAGATGGAGATTGAGGCACACACACACAGACGCGCGTGCACACAGACGCGATGCACGCACGCGCTGCCCCTGCCTGCTTTCCTCCTGCACGGCAGGGAAGAAATGGAAAACAAAACGAGGAACAGGCTCCCTCTCCCGCTGTTCGCGGGCTGCCGTCCCTCCGTCCTTGGCTTGCTTTCCCTCAGGCTTCCTGAGAATGGCCTTGGAGAGTAGTCCAGCTGACAAAGGGCTGACTGCACCACGTCCCTGTCCCCTAGGGCAAGGAGACAGCACAAGTTTCTGCCGGCCATTCCCGTCATCTGTCACCTGCCCGTGCAGGGGGCTGTGTGGCAGGCACCGATGCCCACTCGGAATCGCTGGACAGGAGTCCAGTGCCCTTCCAGAACAAGAGCTTTCCATTCAGGCAGCTGGAACACGCATCCTGGGAAGTCCCTGCTTTGGGGCTTATGTGCTGCTGGCGAGAGCACGGGGAGATGGGCGCTGCCAGGGGAGGCTGGCAGTCCACCTGTGACAACGGGCCTGGGTGTTCGAGGAGCAAAGTGGGGACTCTCTCCCCCTTTTAAAAAATGATAACCCATCACTTTTGTGAACAACAGCTCATTTTTTCCATTTAAAAGTTGTGACATGCACTCAGAAGACACAATAAAATATATACTCATTCATGTGTGTGTGTGTGTGCGTGTGTACAGTTTAAAGATCCATGTAGCCGTCTGCATTCTCCACCCACCTCAGTGAATAGGACATTTGCAGCCACCCAGGAGCGCTCGTGGCTCTCCTGATGCCAGCCCCTCTCCTGGGGTGACCGGTGCCCTGACTTTGGTGACAGTTGTGTCCTTGTTTGGCCTCATACTCTCCCTCCCCGGGGGACACCCTCAGAAGAGGCGTGGTGTTTTGCCCATTTTTCTTCGTTCATGTACATTGTAGTGTGCGCCCTCTTTGGGGACTGGTTGCCTGGGCGGCTCACTTGGCCGCTGGGGGCAGCCAGGGCGCATGTGTTCCTGTGGCTGTTTGGTGTCCCTTGTGTGGACAGGCCACTTTCATCCACTGTCCCTTTGAGACACACGCACCCATTCCAGCTCGGAGCTCCGGGAGCACACCACCCCAGGCCGTGTCCCACACTTCACTGGTATTTACCCCTGGGAGCAGAACTTGGGGGTCAAAGGTGCTCTGACCTTGCTGGGCAGGCCGCTCTCTTTTCTGAAACAGAGCACTTGTGTGTGCCAGGTCCCGTGCTGAGCCCAGGGAGGGGCAGAGCCTCCAGGAGAGTCTGCAGACCGGCCTGTGTGGGGGGGCGGGGGGTGGCTGCTGCTCAGAGAGGGATGGACTGGGGGAGGCCTGGCCCAGTGTGTGGAGGGCGGTCAGCCATGCCCCCCGCGTTAGAGAGGCAGTTACTGAGAGTGACCGATGGCCGAGGGGAGTGACAATGGCAGATGTTAACTGCGTGGATGTTCCAGGCAGGAGCAGGGTGGGCAGGGGCTTTGAGGCTGGGGGCCTCTGTCAGCTCAGCGGCCACAACAGAGGGCCACAGCGGGGCCGCGTGAACAACACAGGTTCACTTTCCCACAGCTCTGGACCCTGCAAGTCCCAGTCGGCATCTGGCAGGGTGGGTTCCTGGGGGCCCCTCCTCCTGGCTGGCGCTTCTCCCCCGTCCTCGTCCTCGTGTGGCAGAGAGAGAGCTGTCGTGTCCCTTCCTCTGGTCAGGGCACTGGTCCTACTGAGTTCGGGCCCCAGCCTCATGGCCTCATTTAGCCTTTACACCTCCTCACAGGCCCTGTCTCCAGACACAGCCACACTGGGGCTTAGGGCTCCTACCTAGGAATTGGAGGGGGACCACAGACGTTCAGTCAGGAACGGGGCGAGGGGAATTTGAGGAACGAGTGTGCATAGAGCAAGGGCTTGAGAGGGTGGTTTGGTTATCTGTCCTTGTGGAATAAACCCGCCCTAAACTTAGTGGTTTAAAAGGAGAATCATCGTTTACCCAAGACTTCACAGTTGGGCAGGGCCCAGGGGGGACAGCCCCTCTCCACCCTCTGTGACACGAGCTGAGGCCTTGCTCACAATGCTGACAAGTTGGTGCTGGCGGACAGCTGGGAGCTCGGTGGGGCTGATGGCCAGAGACCGATGGCCAGGGGCCTTGGTCCTCCTCCATGTGGCCGCATGGGCTTCCTCACAGTGTGGTGGCTGGTTTCTAAGAGTGAGAAAGTGAAAGTTGCCGGTACTTTCCAGGGTTGGATCTGAACCTGGCAGGAGTGCCATTCCTGCCATCGAAGAAGTCACAGCGTCCAGGTACAGCTACTGGCCATTCATATCACAGACCTCGTCTTTTTTTTTTTTTTTGAATAAAAATGATGTATAAGGCATATAACGTGTTTCGGCATACAGATCCATAGTGAAGTGGTTGCTGCGATAAAGCTAATTAACACGTCCGTCTCCTCACATCTCTCTTCTTTTCATGCTGCAAGCACCTGAAGTCTATGCTTAGCAAATTTCCAGCATATGAGAAGATGTGGTTAACTCTAGTCGTTGTGCTGCACATTTAATCTCCAGACTTATGTACCCTCCCTAACGGCCGTGTGTGCCCTTTGACCTCGCTCCCCCATTTCCCCCACCCAGCCCTACTGATCACACAGACCTCGTCTTCTCTCGGCCACGTGCTGCAGGAAATGTGCCCCCTTTTATGTTGGGCATCACCTCCTGGGCTATAGATCTTCATGTCCTTGAAGCACACATTGGCCAGCTCTTTCCCCAAATCGTTAAGACACGGGGCAGGAGCACACCAAAGCTGTGAAAGTCAGGGCCCGCTGTCCCAAATGCCACCATCTGTGGCTCGTTCCTCTGTGGCCAGTGCACAGGACTCTCCATGGCTGGAGTTGCAGTCGAGTGTGTTTTTTCTGGAGTGGGGTCCATGGCTTTGATCAGATGCTCTGATGTCACCCAGAGAAGGGGTGCCGTGATCGTGACCACGGATCTGATCAGACACCCTTCAGAGAAGACATAGAGCATCGTATGACCGCTCCCCACCCGCCACTCAGCAGGAGCCCAGTAGTGCATGCATCCAAATTCACTCACTCTTGTGTTTTTTCAACTTTTTCTTGTGGAAAATTTCAGATATTCACAAAAGTAGGCAAAACAGTATAATGACCACCCCCTCCCCATGTGCCCAACTTCAACAATTATCAGCTCATAGCTAATCTTATCTATCCCCCTTCCTCCTTTCCCCTTTCATTTTTTCTTCAACTTTTTTAAAGACTAGAGCACACCCTGAAGACTGCTTATGTCCTAAGTGTGCACAGAGTGAGTTTTCACTCTGTGAGCTCACCTGGTAAAGATTCTGGTACCCAATTCTGACATGTGTTTGCGGGGGAAGTGTTCCTACATCACCAAGCAATTCGCTGACACTTGAAAATTCCCTGACAATTCCACTCAATTCTGACCCTCTCTGCTGGAGCCAGCATCAGATGCCACAGGCGGAGGGCTCAGTCCCACCAGGCTGCCTCCACTTCAGATGCCAGTCGCAAGCCCAGGTTTCACCTGTGCTTCTGACAAAAAGAAATAAATCAGAGGTGGGCATGAGCCCCTCTTTGGGTTTGATTACTTTGCTAGAGTGGCTCACAGGACTCGGGAAACCAGTTTACTCACTAGATTACTGGTTTATTACATAAGATCTTAAGATACAAATCAACAGCCAGATGCAGATACACATGGCGAGGTCCCTGACAAGGAGCTTCTGTCCTCGTGGAGTTTGGGGCTGGGCAGGTAGCCCGTGGAACTGTTCTAGTTCACCAACCTGGAGGGTCTCCAAACCTCTTCGGGGTTTTGGGTTTTTATGGAGTCTTCATTGTGTAGGCCTGATTGATTGACTCATTGGCCATTGGTGATTGATGCAACCTCCAGCTCCCTCCCCTCCCAGAAATCAGGGGGTGGGACTGAAAATTCCAACTCTCTAATCAGGGTCAGTTTCCCTGGCAACCAACCCTCATCCTTAGGTGCCTTCCAAAAGTCACCTCATTAACATAAAGCCAGCTGTGGTGGAAAGGGGCTTGTCATCAATAACGAGACACCCATTTCACCTTTATGGCTCTGAAGCAATTTCAGGATTGGAGGACCAGAGACCCAATATTCTAACAAAAGATGCTCCCATTGCTCTTATCTCTCAGGAAATGCAAAGGGCTTTGGGAATTGTAAGCCAGGAACCACAGAGGAAGACCGAATATATGTAAGAAATATATTTTCGTCATCTGAATGACCAAATATTTATTTCTCATAAATCACAGTATCGCACCTGGGTAGCCAGTAGTCGGATCAGGAGCCCAATATTATCAGCACTCACAAGCCCCCCATGGCCCCCTTCCGTCACTGCCCTCAAGTAACCTCTGTCTTGACTTCTAACAGGAGGGACAGAGGCTGGTTTGCTCGCTGGCTGTTGCGGGGGTGACAGGAGCATGGTGTAGCGGGCAGTGGGTAGAGTTGGCAAATCTGGGTTCAGAATGGGCCTCGGAGCCGGCTAGTCATGTGACCGTGGCAGTTACGCAGCCTCCAGGAGCCTTGGTCCCTCTTTACACAGCGAGGACCATGCTGGACCTGCCAGGTTGCCCTGAAAATCATTACTAACACGCGTCAGGGCCCAGCTCAGGATTTGGCACGTGAGGAGTGTCACTCATCGTCATCGTCATCAGTGTTATTTCCAATTTCACACCTGTGGTGAGACGGGAGGCGGCTGTGGCCCTGGCAGGCCTTGTGTAGCTGTGGCGAGAGCTGTGGACAGCTGCAGCCTTCAAGATAGCTGACAACTGCTTTGTCGCATCCTGGAGCAACCACCCTGCGCCGGACTGTCAATTAGCCTGAAAGACGACCTGAGGAACACTGTCACTGACACAGCAGACGTAGGGAGAGGGCCCAGGACGGCCTCCTGCCATCAGCAGAGGTGGTTCGGTGGGAGAAGCTGTCCCCTGGGCTTTCTGTGCTGATGGGGCCGTGCAGCTAGTTTGTACAATCACTGAAAAGGCAGCTTACCAAGAGAAATTCGGCCAACTTTGGGTTAAGTGTGTTTTTATTTCTCTGGCAATAAAAAGCAACTTGGGACGTCCAGGGGTTAGATTCCCGAATGTGCTTGCTCGAAGCCCTTTGCTCCTTCAGGCCCAGGAAGTCCCACTGTGGCTTTAGCCATTGGCGACATGCAGTTTAATCCCAGAGTCCCTTTCCTCTGGTTCAGAGAGGGAAGGCGTCGCTGGCGGTGGGTGCCGTGTATTTCGCAGTCTCCGCGAAAGTTCAAGTGTGTGTGATACGATCTAATTTTGTCCAGTTTCTTGACATTCAGCCTTGTCTCCTTTGTGAAGCAGTGTAATTGATTTCTGGGTACTTGAAAATAGAGCTGGTAGTGGGGAAACATGCTGCAAATACCAAATAGGGGATGCGTGAGGCCGGCCGCACCGCCCCCACTCATCCATCCATCCATTCATTCATTCATTCATTCATTCAGTTGCTGCCTCCCAGAGCCTGGGGCACAGAGTTCCAGAGCCACAGGCCCTCCCTCTGGGGTTGCTCTCGACTCCTGGGATGTTCAGATCCTGGGAAAACAGTTTCAGTCGCGGTGCCAGGCAGTGGAGGGGCTTGGAGAGGAGCCTCAAAGCGTCCAGGAGGAGGCTGCTTTCCGGGGAGAGTCCCAGGTCAAAGGAACGGGATGTGAGACCCTGGGGGCTGGGCCTGGGGCAGTGCGCTGAGGCTGGGGAGGGGTCCCAGGGTAGCTGGGGCCTCACGGGTCTGCACATCTCGTGTCCTCGTGGGGGTGTCCTGTCCCAGAGGGCACCCGCACTCTAAGTGTGTGTTCTCTCTCGTTGCAGGTCTGAAGGAGCGGGCTCCCGGAGTGTCAGGTGTGTGTGTCGTCAGCCTCTGTCCGTGCGGCTGCGTCCTGGGGGCGGGCGGCTCATCGGAACCATGCGCTTTGATTCTCCCTGACGGGGTCTCGCAGCTCAGAGCCCTGCCCCCACTGCTCCTGGTCCTGGCCTGTGCCCAGGGGCCGTGGCTGTGCTCTGTCTTCTGGCTCAGTGTCCTGGAACGAGAGTGAAACCTTTCCTGGTTCTAGCATGACCTTCACGGAGGTCACCCAGGCTTGGTGGTTGTTCCTTCCAGTCAAGGGCTGGTGGTGGTGTGCCGTTTGTCCAGGCTGTGATCCATCTAGGACCAGAAGCTTCTCAGCTCAGAGAGCCCCTGGGTCTCTGGGACGTGTGACGGAGGGACAGGGACCGGCTCTCCACCAGGTTCCTCCCTTGAATGGGCACTGGGAGATGTGTGTAGGATGAAGGAACCCAAGTGGTGGCGAGATTTCGGCCCTGAAGAGAGCTGGAGGGCCGTCCCACAACCCCCCTCTCAGGGTTCTGTGTGGCGTGTTGTCAGGAAAGTGTTTTCAAGGCAGATGACATCGAAACTGAGCCCGGAAGGAGGAGAATGATTTTCCGAGCAGGGGAAGGGTGGGGAAGACATTTCAGTGGGTGGAACAGCATGTGCAGGGACCTGTGTGGTGAGAATAAGGACTGGCTTCGGAATACCAGAGGGGTCTGGCGTGCAATGTGGAACATGTGCTCCCAGCTCCAGCCAAATGGTTCTCAGCAGGACGCGTGGAGACGAGGAGCTGGGCAAGAAAGAACCCTGCCGTAAGTCCAAGCAGAGGAGGCTGAGTTCAATTGTCCCCGGTCTGAAGAACCCCTGTACTGTGTGGACTCCTGGGGAGGGACGGGTCCAGAGACCTTTAGGAGTCGTGGTAGGAAACATTGCTAGGACTTTCAGATGCTGTTGTCAGGCCTCGGCTGTGTCTCTGCCCCGTGCCAGGCTCTGTGTTTCAGCCCCAGAGAGCTGTGGATGTGGGTGTCGGCCCTCAGTCACACATCACATCCTCTGTGCACGAGCATGGGCACGGGGCACACATATAAAGGCCTTCCCTTTGCTCAGGATCTGACGCCTGGCGGGCTGCTCCCACCCTCGTGCTTCCAGTCACTACCTACTGGACAACTGCAGAATCTGTTATCTCGGTAAGAGTGTCTACGAGGTCTCTTTCCTTAAGGGAGCCCCACGTCCATCAGTGTCTCCCACAGCACCTCTGCCCTCTCAGGGCCCCCGGGGTTATTCCGCACCTCAACGCTGACGGTGGCCCGCCCTGCTTCTCTCGGTGCCATAGTGCTGTCGCTGCGGCTCTCATAGGGGCCCCTCAGCTGGACACCCGCCTATGCAGCCCCGTTTCCACTCCTGCTCCTCTGCTGCACCCGCCCAGTTGTGCCACTCATCCTCTACACGCGTCCCGTGATTCCCTGCTGTCTTCTGGCTTCTCTGTGTGACTGCGCTGTTTCCTCCACCCCTCTGTCACCAAAACCGGAGTGGGTTCCCTCCTGGCAAGTTAAATCAGACCCTCCACCAGAGCCACTCATCTCAGAAAGTAAAGTGTACTTGCAGCCAATAGGAGACCATGAGGAGTCATTTCCAGAGTCTCAGCGTACCCGAACACCGGGGAGCAGGGCCTTTTATTTGGGATGGGGAATGAATGTTCAAAAGGGAGAGGTGGGAATCCTCTTGCTGGCTCAGTTGGAAACCTGCTTCCACATACACTGCAGGTTACAGGAATGAGGCCTAAGCTCCTCTTGGAGAGATCTTAGCACTAAAATAAGGCAAAGGTCACAGGCGGAGCTCTCATGGTGAGGCCTGGTCCGGTTCAAGGAGGTTGGTGTTTGCATCTCCTTAATGTAAAAAAGGAAAAGAACAATTTGGAAAAAGAGTTGAAATATCCAAATCCACTCTTGAGTTCCTTGGGGTCACTAGTTGGTGACATACTGCTCAGCAGGCCCCACACCTTTCTCAGGGTCCCCCGAGCTGCTGCCTCCCTGAGCGTTGCAGGGGCCACGACTGGAGTGCTCTTCCCTGGTTTGTGCTCAGTGGCTTTCTGTGCTTGCTTTTGATATGCAAGTTCATTCTGCTTTGTGTCCCAGTGACTTGAGCACTTGTCTTGTTCCCCCAGGCAGAGTAAGTGACCTGGGCTGAGGCCTCTGGGTCGTCTCTGGGTGGGGCTGACACCCACCAGGCACAGAGCAGGCACCAGTGGGCCTTAGTGTTAGAGAGCAAGGGCTCGCCACCCGGTGCACATAGGATCCGACACCGTGGCACACCAGGCTTTGAGGGCAGAAGGCTTTATTGCACAGTCCATCAGCAAGGAGACAGGAGGCCTCACAAACGTCTCGCCATCCAAGGTACGGGGGGAGGTGTAAGGGAGCAGGGCTGGTATGTGGAAGGGCTGGCAGGATGAGTTTCGATTAGCAGATCAAAATTTCCTCTTCTCCACATGCTCCTGGGTGGCTCACGGCCCCTGAAAAATGGCTTTAAGTTCCTGCTGTTAAGATGGGGTCAGTGAGAGAGGATATGGGAGAAGTACAGGAAACCGGGTGAAGATGTCATGCGGACTTCAGTCATTGCCTTCTCCATTGATA